TGAGTGCGGCAGCCAGTAACGAGCAGCGCAAAGGTGTCAGTGTGCTGAGTCCTGTGTAGCGAAACTTGCTTTGTAGAGAACTCGGATATGTAAAAAAACTGTACAAAGCTTTCATTGAATGAACTAATCCGAAATTCAGTGGAAATATTAATTCGATATCATCTCGTAACGTTGATGACTAAACAGTACAACTCATACTCTGGTTCGCTGCGGATGATGGGGCGTGTCCGCGATCGCGCTTGGCGCTGAGCCAACCTGTTTTTTTTTTTTCGACAAACGACAGGACTACCATATCGTTCCAGACGTTTTCCAGCAGTTGGTCTCCTTTATCAGAGTCAGCAATTGGAAGTAGCACAGCTCTGGTGGCGTCCGACACGGATACGCCCCGTCATCCGCAACGGACAACACTGGGAACAAGCGCGTAGACATTGGACCTCTCTGAATTCTACAAACACATTTGCTCGCGTAGACAGCCACTGCGTGGAACTTGCACCATCCCACTACCTCTGCGTGGGAGCCTAAGCATGGCGCATCCACAAATGAAGCTAATCACCAGCGCCAAAACACCTACTGCTTGCTCCTATCCCACGAATGAATGCATTCTAGAAGCAGACAATAGGTTTTTCGAGCAGCTCGGAGTATTCTACAAAAACTCCCCAACGCGATTATCTCATGAATACCGAAACTTCAGAAACAAGTGAAGTGGTTAGTGGGAAGAAGGAATCCTCTAGTATTCGACGCTGGGTCCAGATTTGCAAACAATTGAGTTTTTAGAAGATTATATTCGTTCAAATCAGGACAGCTTGCATCTAATCCCAGCCGATCCTCAACGCTGAACTTCTCTCTAAATTTGGCAACCGACTGCGCTCTCCTCTTTCCCAACGATCTGCGTTTGAGGATGTCATAAACCTTCAAAGACATGTTACTCAAGGGAGTATAGAAATACGCTCCCCAACGCAATCAAAGCGTCGGGGAGCGTATTTCTATACTCCCTTGAGCGTTTTTCTCCCCGACGCTTTATGCGTGTGCATTCAAAGGGCAGGCAATTATTCAAATGGCATGGCTGCCGATCTGCATTCTACT